AATTATTCAAATATGGGGCAAAATTCCTCAACTGTCCAGGTCAAAAAATGAATTTTCTCTAAACTTTTCTAAAATGTTACTATTATTAGTAGAAGTGCAAATATAAATTTTTTTTGAATTTGATAAAATATTTCTTGAGTTATGGAGTTTCAAAATTTTGATTTTTTTGAAAATATCTTTTTTTCAATTTAATATATTGATAAGTAAAATTAATCAAATTTAAAGTATGAATAGTGATTTTTAAAGGGGTTTTCACGGGCTATAAGCTGGTGATGAAAAAAAGTTGTTTTCTTTCAATTTGACCTTGAAATTCAAGGTCAAATTCTTAATTTCAATATATCTCAAAATCGATGTTTTTTATTTTTTTCTAACCTATCTCAATCAAAAGCTTACCTTTTTTCCTATGAGCCATGTAAAAATCAGAGTGGGACCATGGAAGTTTTTGAAGAAATTAATTATAAATCATCATTTTCTATGTAAAATAATGATAAATTATTATTTTCCTTAAAAATTTCCATGGTCCCATTCTAATTTTTACACGGCGAAAAAGGAATAGTTGACACATCCAGATACATGGATATCACAGCCATATTATATTGAAAAATACGGGATATCCATACTGCCGTTTGAAATAAAAACTTAGTTAACTGACATTTGTATCGAAACGAGAAAATAAGGAAAAACTGTTTGCTTTCAGAACCCTAATAAAAATTAAAAAATTGTTCAATTCAACTTCACATACTGGGTATAATGATGGTGCTCTATTTAATTATAAAATAAAAAATTAATTATTTAAACAAATTATATGAAAAAATGCACTTGCGTGTTTTTCCGAATGCAAATATGAATTAAAAAGTTAGGTAAAGTCCTTTGCGTAGTTGCTCAACAAAAATGTACGCGAGCTCGGTCCTCCGATTTGATGGAAAAACTTACCTAACTGACAATGACGTCATGTGGTAAGGGGACGGCTGCTTGCTGCTTGCGTCCCGAGGATAAACCGAGTTTAGCCGAATGCAGTTAAGTAGTCGTTCGGCTCTGTCTCGACTGACTTTTTGACGGAATAACTTAGGTAATTGCAAGCGTTGCAGATGCAAAGTTTTTATTTCAAATCCAACGCTCAGACTCGACTATATATTTGATACAAAAAACACACAAATGCCTTTAACTAAGTTTTTCCTTCAAATCTTACATTCGAGCTCGTAGCCTCGTTTGTTTTTTGGACTACGCAAAGTCCTTTCCTTAACTTTTTATCAAATATTTCTTCATTTTCTGCAATTTCTTAGATTTTTAATATTAATTTTTTACAAAAAATAATTTGCAAAAAAAATTTAAACTATAAGTATTAGGCGCAGTTTTTTCTTACGAGTTCATTGATACCAAAAACTCATTTTTCACCAAAATGTCAGTTAACTAAGTTTTTATATCACACGGCAGCATAGTTAAGGTTGCTGCATCTATATTCTATGGCTGGCTGTATATTGTTGGAGCAACAAAAGATCTATGGTTGGGTGATCCATAGTAATGGAAATGGGAAACAAAAAAATTAGAATCACTCAATTAATTAAATTCCATGTCATTTGAGATATTTTATACACATTTTTGTTAATTAATACACACCACTTATTGAATAACCGCATATTAACGAAATAAATTATTAACCGATGGGGGGAGACACGAACCCTAGACCTAACGCATACTAAACACTAACGCTATCCACTACACTATACACGCAACTACAATATTTGAGCATATAATATTCCTTATATACTCTACACATATTTCATGAAAATAAATTTACATAAACACTAATAGACAATAACGATAATAAATAATAAACAATTATAACACTACTTATACACAATAAACTCACAACGTGATTATATAGACGTGACAGGAAACCGACGCGACGGAAAAATTGAGACGACCATTTTTAAATGGATGCTATGATAATGAATTGCGCGCAACATGTATCGAAATTTTGAACTAACTATGGATCTCCCAACCAAAGTTTATATGGATGAGGCAGCCATATGTGAAAATCCATAGCATGAATTGTAAGCCCAACCATGCCTATGGATGTCACATCCATATTTGATTCAACAATATAATATGGCTCCCTCATCCATTGAATATCGAATGTGCTTCCATTCTGAAAGTTGTCTCTTCCATTGAATTGGATAACACAACAATATTCTGCTCAACAATATTTTTATAGATATCTCTTCCAGACCTTTTCTTTCCGTGTACATGGCTCATAGGAAAAAAGGTAAGCTTTTGATTGGGATAGGTTAGAAAAAAATAAAAAACATCGATTTTGAGATATATTGAAATTAAGAATTTGACCTTGAATGTCAAGGTCAAATTGAAAGAAAACAACTTTTTTTTCATCACCAGCTTATAGCCCGTGAAAACCCCTTTAAAAATCACTATTCATACTTTAAATTTGATTAATTTTACTTATCAATATATTAAATTGAAAAAAAAATATTTTCAAAAAAATCAAAATTTTGAAACTCCATAACTCAAAAAATATTTTATCAAATTCAAAAATAATTTATATTTGCACTTCTACTAATAATAGTAACATTTTAGCAAAGTTTAGAGAAAATTCATTTTTTGACCTGGACAGTTGAGGAATTTTGCCCCATATTTATTCTAACTACATTCTAAACAAATAATAATGCATGAATTACTAGATTAATTACTGAAAATCCAGTATATTTTTCCCTTTAAACAAGAAAGAAATAAAATTTTATATGAATGTACTCATATAATCTTACACGCGCAGGCGTCGACCTTCCCAGCTGTTGAGTGTCATGGCGACCATGGCGTCGCGTCATTAGATCAGAAGCGTGTGTTTTGCAGTGTGTGATTATAAGTGTTGCTGTTTAATATGTTTAACTTTCACATTTTTTTAGTTTCTTGTAAATATCTTTAACCAATAAATATTTATCAGTAATAGACAAAATGAATTGACCAAAATTAGTTTAAACCCACACACAATAAATGTTTAGCGTTAAAAAGACATTTTATTGAATTCAACTAATGTTTATTAAATCAAAAACAAATAACTTTGATATTAGTCAAGTAATCTTTTATTTTTGAAATAATTTTTTTCTCATACTGGTTATAAATTTAATAATGGTTTTTCAACTCTTTAAAGCTCTAATTATTTTTCAACATATTACTATTTCTCACGTAGCATATTCCGTGTGGAGAATATTTAAATATCCTGCGCGAGTCTCCCATGGGATGGAAATTTGGATATCCCAGGGATATCTCTGAGATGTCACAAATATCCCAGGGATCTCCCTGGGATATCTCAATATCCAGCGAGATATCTCTAGGATATCCCTGGGATATCCTTTTGCTCAGAGGGTAGTACCTAACGTTTGGAATCTAGAAATATCGCAAACCTATGAAAATAAACAACATTGCTGACGAGGGGAATCGAACCTACGACCTACGGACTAACAGACTAACGCTCTAACCACTATGCTAACGACATGTGTACAGTAAAGTATTAATATCTCAGTATCATTCAGACATACAATTATTGAGTCAAAGATGAGAAAAAAATAGGGATACGTTAGAAATAATAAATTGAAATAAAATAAATTAAACTAAATTTTTAATAATTAAATTAAATTACTTTACTTATTGCATTTAACATTTTACGTAATTCTTAAATTACGTGGTAATTTTTTAATAAATTTTTATTTATAGTAAAAAGTATAATAGTATTTTAATAGGAACCAAATTATTATTGAGATTAAAGTTTAAATTTTGTTTATAATCTTAATTTGTTTAAATAATTTATTATTTACAAAATTAGACAATTATGTTAAATTATTATTATTAAATTTAATAAAAATAAAAAATGAACAACTGAAAAGTAAAATATTAATTTTTTTCAAGTTTATGTCAAAAAAGCAATGTTGGCAAAGAGCGTTGTGAACAATTTTTCTATACTCAGCCAGCACTTGCTGCCGTGGCTTGTCCAAACAATTAGTGCTGTTTCAGCATTCACAAAAAAAATTGAGGAATGAAGAAAATTAGTTTGATTATTTTTTAGGCATTTTTTTGAAGAAAAACATTGCTTTTAAGTTGAAAATGCTAAAAAAACCCATTTTTATTCAATTTTTTTATATGGAAATTCACTTGTTTATTTTTCCAACTAATTTCAAATCATAAAATACAAAAAAAAATAATGATAAAATTATGATTTGAAATTAGTTAAAAAAAACAAGTGAATTTACATATATAAAAAAATTGAATAACAATGGTTTTCTGTGGCATTTCCAACCTAAATACAATGTTTTTTTTTCAAAAAAATGCTTTAAAAATAATAAAAATCATTTTTTTCATTCGGCAATTTTGTTGAGAATACAAAAACATATTTTCTACAAAATTACGGATGGATTTTAAAATCTATTAATTTTCAAGAAAAACAAAAATCCAAAAATAGTCAGAATATTTTCTAATCCATTTTATTTTCAGACCATTGATTTCCTCTCTAAAACTTACTATAAAAATAATTTTATGGAAGATTTAAATCATTTTTTTGATATAGTTAAAAATGTAGTCGAAGTCTTCCCTTAATCATAATTGTTTAACAATTTTATAGATTTGTTTAGAAGTAAAGAAAAAAATCTGCATAATGATAAGAAACGAAAAAAAATTCTGATGATTTCTATTTGTCATTACAATTTTCGTTACAAAGTTTTAATTTAGAAAAATGAAAACAAATTTGCAGAATTTTTTTGTATAAATACTAACTTCAGAGTGTGCGAGGAACAGAAAAGAAGAAAGAATACAAAGATTATTATAAGTTAATTAATTAATTACGATTATGGCACTATATTCCAACTTTATAAAAAAATTCGATAAAGAATAAATTTTCTCCGTGCAAAATAAAATCATAGAATGCATTATTTTCATGTAATACTTTCGTAGCTTGGAAAATAGGTTTGGAAAATTTTTTCTCTTTCTCATTTCAGAAATGGCATTCAGGTGCAGCGAGAGCCGCGCAAAAATGGGCTGAGGCCTGTCTTGCTCTAACTCACGATAATGCCACTGGTTTGCATATTGATGCGTTCGGCACTTGCGGACAAAATATTTTTATTTCAACCACCCAGGTCCCATGGTATGTGTATTGCATTTAAATTTCTTTTTTCAGCATCAAAAAGTCCATGTATAAATTGCGAAAAATTATTACCCAAACGTGTATTCGAAAATAACGCATAGCAATTGAGCGTTGAAAACTAGAGCAAATTTTGAAAATTTTAAAGAGAACAACACTTCCGTTTTCGAGGAAAACACAATTTTCATACGAAAAAACGAAAATTTTAGAAATTATCAAGAAAAATTCTTTATTTTTAAAGTATATTTTTAGATAATTTTTACACTGTAAAATAAATAAATCTTACTTTCAGTCCACATGTGACTAAAATTATCGTTTACAAGAAAAACGTTTAGTACCATTTTTGACTGAATTTTAGTCTTGAGAGTATGATTTTAAATGTACAGATCAACTTAAAATTAATAATTAATATTAACGAATATATAAAAAAACAAATTTTTTTTAAAACTTCAATGTCTTGTAGTTCAGTAGATTTTGGGTTTTGAAAAAAATGTTATAAGGGGTTTTTATTTAACACTATTGGGCGCTAACAGAACTCTGATCAGAACTCATGGAACTCTTAATTGAGGAGCAAGCGGCCAAAAGTTGATAAGTCCATTTTTTAAAAAATTTCTACTTTACACTTTTCGAGAATGATAATTAATTGAATTTCCAAATAATCACTGTTGCATTAAGAAAAAAAATTGTTAGTAAAGAATTATATTAATTTAAAAATATTTGTACTTAATCAACAAGATTTAAAATTTTAGTTTTTTTAACTAAAGAAATGCCCAAAATTATAAATTTTTTATTTATAATTCACTTTAATTAATAATGAGATTTCTGAGTCCAAAAAATTATTCTGATATAAATAATTCAGTACATATTTTTTATATTTTGAAATTAACTTTGGTTATGTGTCAAATTGCATTTGTTTAAATTTCTCGAAATAGTAAAAAATGGACTTATCCACTTTTGGCCGCTTACTCCTCAATTTATGATAAAATTTTTTTTTGGAAACTTCAAAGTCTTGTAGTTCAGTTGTTTTTCTGTTTTGAAAAAATTGTTATAAATGTTTTTTATCTATCTCGATGGGGCGCTAACAGAACTCTGATCAGAACTCTTTTTTCGTAACATTTGAATTTTTTTTGAAAAATTCTCGAATTTTCAATTATTTTTTTATGATTTTGAATTATGAGAACTATTGAAATAAACTGTAGGGAACTCTAGAACTCTCTTATAGCTACTCAGAACTCTAATAATAAATCCATTTTTTCAAAAGTGGGGGGCTGCGTGAAGTTAGCCCCCCATTATGAAAAAACCTATTTTTTACCATTTATTCGCCGGAACTATTTCTAAAAACTATCAGGAACTCTAGAACTATTGTAGAGGAAGTCAGAACTCTAAAGAAAATTTCATTTTTTTGAAAGTGGGGGGCCAACTTCACATACATTATTTCCATAAATAATAAAACTAATTTTCAAAAAATCTAAAAAAAAGATCAACTACATCTCAAATATCTTTATAAAAAAATAGCAAAATTCTTAACCAAATTCAATTATTTTAAAATTTTTTAATAAAATTAATTAAAATTCATTCATTTTTCGCAAAAATTAAATATTGATCAATATCAACTATTTTCATACAATTCACCAAAAAATTTAATTATTTAAAAAAAAATTTATAAAATTCTACAAAAACTTTTATTTTTTTTTCAAAAAATAATAAAAATTTCACAAGAATTTAATTAATAACAAATTTTTTTTATAAATTTCTTCGCAATCATTCAACTATTTTCATAAAATAAGATTTAAAAAATTGTTGATAACATTTTTTATGAGAATTTAATTTCAAGAAACATAAAATTAATAAATTACTTATTTTTGTATTTAAATAATTGAATTCTCATAAAATTTACTAATAAAAAAGGATTTTAAAAATGAATTTCAGTTAAAATTTTAGATTATAATTAAATATTAAAAGCATTATAACGTAGATTTTTAGAAATAATTAAATTTTGAAAAAGTTTCAAATTAAGATAATTGAAATTCATAATTTTTCATATTTTTGACAAACGCCCCTTATGAAAAAAGAGTACTGGAATGAGTATTGGAAAGAGTACTGGAATGAGTATTGGAAAAAGTACTGGAGTGAGTACTGGTTTGAGTATTGGTTTGAGTATTGGAAATCCAGTACTTTTTTCGCCTTTATATAATCTAAAATTCTTTTACTCGAATATTTGCAATTGACTCTATTCTTAAACCTGAAATATTATAAGTAAAATTCATTTTTCTTATTTTTATTTCCTATAATTCTTATTTTTCTTAATTCTAATTGTCGGAATAATTTTCTGTCATTTCTGTCGACTTTTTAATGTCCACATAACCTAAAATTTATTATTTATTTTATTTAAAAATAAATATATATATATATATATTTTTTTTTTAAAATCACATAATCATATCCACCCCCACAGCACCGAAACTTTCCTAAAAATGTAATTAATATTTACTTGCAATATTCGGAATATTTAATTGCAATGTTTATTGAAAGTTGTGTACAGATTTAAATGTCCCGATTAAATAAATGTTTAGCGCGAAGCTTTCCTGAACATTTCAATAAAATCTTTGCATAATTATAATTATAATTATGCAAAGATGTAATTTCATGTTCAGGAAAGCTTCGCGCTAAACATTTATTTAATCGGGACATTTAAATCTTTATACAATTTTCACTAAACTTTTCAGTTAAATATGACGAATATTGCAAGTAAATATTTAATAAATTTTTAGGAAAGTTTCGGTGCTATGGGGGCACTAATATTGACATAATTCCTATTTTTTTAATGTCCTATTTTTTATTTTATTTGTTGTTTTTCGTTCTTCCAATTGTCTATTATAAGTCAGACTTTTTTTTAATAAAAATTTATTTTAACGAATGGGCGTTTGACACATTTATTTTTTCTAAAAATCACATAATAATATTCACTAAGATTAACTGCTACACGGAGAGAGAATATATATTAAATTTTGTAAAAATATTTTCAAATTGGGGAAAAAGTGCGACAAAGCGAAATTTTGATATAAAAAATACTAAACTTTAAAAAAACTTATGTGAAATTTAGTATAATTATATTAAATATCAAGAATATTAATTAAATTCTAATATAACTTTAGTAAATTTCACAAAACTTTTTTTAAAGTTTAGTATTTTCTATATCAAAATTTCGCTTTGTTGCACTTTTTCTCCAATTTGAAAATATTTTTACAAAATTTAATATATATTCTCTCTCCGTGTATTTGGCATAATTCCCAATTTTCTGAAAAGTTAAATGTCCTATTTTTTATTTTACTAATTATTGTTCGTTCTTCAAAGTATCTATTTCGCTTTTGTTGCAATCGTTGCAATGCAATGTAATGGCAATCATATTAACAGCTGAGCCTTTACGCTCGCTGCATGCTTCTGCCCTTTACTGGCAAATGGCTATAATACACGTCTTGCCGCCTGTCATAATTGCATTACTTTTGTACCTTTTGTATTTCCCATTCTGCAACCGCGTTTCTGCATAGATTTAAACAATCTTTTGAATTATTGTAATTTAGAAGATGCTTACCCATTGTTCGTTGGCAGATTTTCTAAAAAGTGCCCGTGTACAGAGAAAAACTAGTTCGAAAACATTTGTTTACTAATTTCACGTCGTTTAACCCAGGCAGTGCCGTTTTTCTTATAATAATTGTAAGTCGCACATAACCTCTCAGGCGGAAATTTCCAACCGGCGCGGATCCTAGCCCGTACTGACGCCGGTGTAACTGTACTGGCTCGGAACCGCCTGCCAACCGAATGTGAACGGGCATTCTACCGAATAGTGACTAGGCCAGGAGCGCGCTGGCAACCGGCTCGGAACTGGCATTCTACCGCCCGCTGACCGGCCGGGAGAAGCCGTTCCGTGTATAATTCAACCGGCTGGGACCTGGCACTCTACCGACCGCGGATTTTTCATTTAATAGCCAGCCGAGCGCTGGCATTCTACCGACTAACAACCGGCTCGGATCCAAATGATAATTTCAACAAATATCAATACAAAAAATAATAATTAATTGCAAAAGATAAACACTAATGACAATTCATTGACAGTTCACTTTACACATTTTTTTATACACTTAAACGCAATTTTTTTTATACATACACATTTGAAAAATCCTAACGCTTGGAGGTACGAACCTACGCCTAACCGAATATTTACGCACCGAAATCTCGCACGCTAACCACTATGCTACGCTCGCATGGGACTCTCAAATCTTAAATACTCTCAAGTGTCACTAGCTCAAATAAAACTTGCAGAATTACTACGCGTCAATGATACCGCTATATTTTCAATACTTTATTGAATGTATATTTAGGACTATTTCGATATTTCGTTAAAAAAGAAACTTGTTATATTTTTATTATTATATAATACATATTATATTGAATATAATTGTTTTTCAATATAATAATATTGAACGTAATAATATTAATAATTTTAATTAACATGTCAATAATAATAAATTTAGTATTATTAAGATATTATTAATTAACATTAATATTGTTGAGAATTAATAATAAATTATCAATATTAATATTAATTAATAATATATCAATAACAATAAATTTATTATTATTAAGATATTAATTAAAATTATTAATATCATTACCTTCAATATTATTATATTGAGAAACAATTATTCAATTATTATTGAGATATTATTAATTAATATTATTATTAATATTAATAATTTATTATTAATTCTCAATAATATTAATGTTAATTAATAATATATAATATTAATTAATAACGAATTTTTTAATTATTTAATTTTTAAAAAAGTCTCAATAAATAATTACTTAATATATTGATTAGATTTATATAATAATAATTATTTTCTAAAATAATGCAATTACTTGTAATAATTATTTAATTTATAATGTGACAATAAATGACGAGATCCGCAGTCGGATCCTCCCCAGTACCGAGCCAGTACAGA